TTGGCAGATATGTTCTCCCACACGGTCGGTTTCCTTTTCGTTCTGGTGGTGGTTTCTTCAGCCGTGCGGGAGCTAACAGTGTGAAAATGACGATGGGAGCAGGGTATTGGTGTGAGCAGAGGGGAGAGCACAGGGGGAGAAATTGGGACAACTGTAATAGAATAACAGTGGAAAAATGATTAGTTAAATAGAGAAGCAAGGAGGAGAGGGAGACCGTCACAACTTAGTGTCTAAATTACTTACCTTAGATTAATGTTTAAATGCATATTAATGTTTGTGGGGTATGCCTAACACCTTCTGAGGATTCAATAAACGTTAGCAACAACAAAAAAGTCACATTTGAGAATAAACAAGAATGCCGTAGTGTGTTATCACTATGACTGCAAGCCATGGTGTTAATTAGAAACAGCCATGTTTACTTGGCCAGCATTTCTAGTTGCTGTTTGTTGTTGTTATAGTCACGTTGGTTTAATTGTCACAGTAGAGCCTTGCCATTTAAGACAACCGAGTTTCTCAAGTGTGTGCTGTTGTTTATAGCTCTCCTTTGGGTGGAACACGGTCAAGATTGATATGAGTGCAGCCCGCAGAGACCCTCTTCCGGTTATTCCCTTTGGATTAGCTGCATTTGCTGCCACCTTGTTTGCCTTGGGATTGGCTTTAGGAACAACCATCGCCGTTGGGATGTTGTTTTTTATCCAGGTAAGTTCCTCAGTTACTTCTAGCTGAAAGCTGTCAGGTTATAGGGACAGCTTGTAATGAGAAGTGCATGTTACTGTTACTTACTCGATTTAGGTAACTAGTTGAATCCTAGGTACTGGTCAGGTAATTTTGGAGTGGCTTTGCCTGAATTTCTAAGTAACTGATTGGATTTTAAAAAGATTACCTTGGAGTTGTATGGACCTTTGTAGTGGAGAAAGCCCTTCTCATGTTTCTAGCCTGCTGATCTTCTCTTCAGCCCCAAAAGGGGTTGAAGGGGAGCATTATTTTCTCTTCCTTACAGACGAATAATAATTGAGTCACAGAAAGTTTAAGTGACTTACCAGCTAAAATAATTCATTTATATATTCAGTAAACAGAATTACTGTTATTATTTTATAATAGCATATATTTAATCACTATCATAAAGTTAATTAAAGTAGTGATGAGATTTTAATAGCAAAATACACTTAAGTGCTTATTGAATGGATTATATCAGTGTTTTATTAATATTCTTGTAACAGGGTGCAGCCAAGAGGAGGGCCCCAAAAAGGGATTTGGTTGGGGTCCAGAACTCAAGGTGTCCAGATAATATTAGAAAGACATATAAGATGTCCTCACCCTTTCCCCGCCCCCCACAGGTGTGAGTTGGGGGAAGGGACACATGGAGCAGGGCCATTGAAAGGTGTTTTGTACAGCAACAGCGTTGCAGCTAACCTTTTTCTGGCATGGTCATTTAACATATCTGAAACCTTTAGCTGGTTACATAGATATGTTAAATAGTTGTGGCCTTGCTCTGAGCCATGGGGAGAGAGTGACTTCCACCCAAGATGCAACTGAGGGAAGGTCCCCTAGGTTTAAGGGAGTCTGTGTGAGAGCTTAGAGAAGATTGGCTCACTGTGATGGGGCCACACCTGCCCAGACTCACTATGGCAGCTCAGTAAAGCTTGAAGGATACTGGAGTGCTGGCAAGTATAGCCGATTGTGGGAGGAGTCGGGAATGGGGCTGCAGAGGAGGACTGGTGCAGGGATTGAAACCCAGACACCGCAGCCATTGAGGAGAAAAAGCTACGTGCTTCTGTCAGAGTAGGAACCCCTGCAGTCATGGGAAGGAGAGAGAGCCACGAGGCTTTGCCAGAGTGGGGACCCCCACAGCTTTGGTAGAAGAGGACCACGCAGCTTCAGGGTGCTCCACATGGCCTGGGAATCGGGAGGGACTTTGCCTGGAAAATGGGTACAAAGAGTTCTTGCCAGTAGACCATGAGAAAGTGCCACATGGCTTTGGATTAATTAGAGATTCTCTCCGGACGGCAACACAGCTGACGGTGCCAGCAGCCTGAAACACGGACATTTGCTTCTTTTCCTGAGATACGGTACCCCGAATTAGGGCAGGGGGAGAAGGAAGCACTGTGGGTGTTGGTGAGTGTCCCAAAGGATGTTGATATTTCAGTGGGGACGTTAGTTCACTACTTTAAGTCTTTACAGCATTAAATAAACATTTCCTTTCCTTTTCACAAATCTCTGGTATTGAGAGACGTCTTTCCTATCTGGCAGCGGGCATAACGGAGCTGTGTGTGTGTGTTTGGTAACACTCTGAAACATTACTCAGAAGATGATCCTTAAAATGTGAATTTTTATTACAATAATATATTTGGCTTTGCTCATGGATTGATGTAGTTATTTTGTGCAGACGTACTGTGTGTACAGTGGTTCACAACAGGGACTTCAGAGTCAGATGCACCTCACACTGAGTCACGTACCCTTTACTGTCCTGGTAGTTTTGTCCGTGGAGCTGCGCAGGGAGCACTGTCTCACAGCATCAGTGTAAAGAATAACCTTACGTGAACCAAAGTCCATCCTAAAACTTTGTTCCCTGTCATTTAATTTTCAGATGAAAATAATTCTCAGAAACCAAACTTCTATTGAATCGTGGATTGAAGAAAAGGTAAGTTTAATACTTGTTTTCGCCAATATTCATAAAGGACTGATAAACTCATAGACCAGATTAACTAATGAATGCCTGAAAGTGAAAATTTGGCTACCCAATAGCTTCCTGAAGTCATTTGTATGTCACATAAAAGATAAAAATAGGAGACATTTTGATTTATCCCTGGCTTAGTATTGTATAGAATATTAAAAGAACATCTACTTGAATGTTGAGATTTAATAAAAATAATAATAATTGTTATTGGTTCATGAAAGACATTTCCTGTAAAAGCTGTTCTTCCAGGGATGCAGGGTGGTTTTGCTCTGAACGGAGAGTGTGTGGTGGTGAAGACTGTGACAGCCGCTAACAGAGGTCAGTGCTGCTGCCTCCATTCCTGCTTAAGGTGCCAGCAGTTTTACCCACCAGTGCAAATGACGGCACAGTGAAAATGGCAGAGAGCATCTCAGTGTTGTGGCCAAAGTTGTTTGACATTGTTGAACCCCAAGGAAAGGTCTTGGAGGCTCAAAAGAATGTTCAGACCTTGCTTTGAGAACTATTGGTGTTCAGCTTTAATTATAAGATCCTCCTCTTACACATAATAAAACCTTTCACGTCTTCCCTTATCTGCTTCTTCAATGGCATTTCCCACCCCTCCCCCACCTCATCTCACCTTCTAAGCCAGCTAATTCCAAGTAATTCGTAGTTTGTACATTATCTGTTTCTTTCCACATGTGCCCTCTGGCTAGAACACTCCTCCTCCAGCTTCTTTCCCTGTATTCTTGCTCCTCAGGATTCACTTTAGGTTTCATTCCTTCCAAGGAACCTTCCTTGACTCTCCCTGGACAAGGTTAAGTACTTCTGTTGCTTTTCCCGTCACACAGCACCTACCACACACCTCTTCACCTTCTAACCTGTGGCACAGATGGACCCGTGCCCCCCCCCACCTCATAGAGTGCCCTTCAGGCAGAGACCACGCCTAGGTCACGTTTGTAAGCTTCTCTCGTCCTTACCATTTTTTCTTTGCTAATAGCCTAGGTTTCTGTTCCCCGAGACTCTTACCCATTTGGAAGACTCTGAAGGTTTTACTCATAAATAGGGAAAAGAAATTGCCTTTTTCTCTCTGGGTGGGGATAGCTTTACACAATTCAGTAAATTCATATATTTTATAGGTTGATAATTCTTTTCATTGAATTAACATCAGTATCACTTTTTAAGTAACTACAAGAAGCTTTGCCTTAAAATACTGTACCTTAATAATAAAATATTTTGAAGTATCATTTCTAGTTACCATAATATATTAATAGTAGTTAACAATTATTTTGCTGGTGACCAAGTTTCTTTATAAAGTGCCATGCTAAGCCTAGGAATTATTTTAATTCTGGTTCTTTGTTGCTGAGTAAAATGTTTAAATAAACGATTGTATTAAGTTTTGGAAAATTGATCAAAATTACTAGACACTAAAATTTATACAACAAATTTCCACTGCATTTGTTCACTTATAGGAATAAATAATGAATCTTTATACCACTAGGTGTCAGTGGAACTTAAGATTCCAAGCCAGTATGTCCTTAAGTTAAAGCTAATTAAATGCCTAGAATATAATTTATACAACTAGAGTATTTATGTATATGCATAAAATGTACATACAAATGCAAATGTAAATAAGTACATATGCATGTGCAATGCTATAAAAACGGGAGATCTGCACATGTCTCCTGGCTTAAAAAAATAATTTTCATACAATGATGACTCCTCCTGTTACACGTTTCCTGGCCATTCCCCCAGGAGTCGCTGCATCCTGGTGCCCCCCCAAAGGTGCTCCTTCCATGTGAATAAACCCTCGCTGCCTCTTCGGTCTGCTTGTCAGCTTCTCTTCTTTACACCTGAATTCTTTTCTCTGCTCAACAACAGGTGCACCGAGAAGTTGTTACATATGGAATAAAGTCACTGTTACAATCTGCACTTTTGAATGCTCATTCCTAAATAAGCCCTGTCCCACATTTTCTGTGTGCTCTTGTGTGAGGTTGGTGTTGTATGTCAGGTTCTCCCAGTATTGTGAGAAAGTTATTCAGCTCTTCTCTGCACGCTGACGTCACAACAGGAGCAAGTATTGTGGAGAATGGTCCAAATCTAAGGAATAGATGCTCTCGGTGGTCTATTACTACAAGCCATTTAAGGCACCTGGCATCTTACATCTTTGTTACCCACAGGCTAAAGATCGAATTCAGTATTATCAACTAGACGAAGTCTTTGTTTTTCCTTACGACATGGGAAGTCGATGGAAGAACTTTAAACAGGTGTTTACCTGGTCAGGGGTCCCAGAAGGAGATGGGCTGGAGTGGCCAATAAGAGAGGGCTGTCACCAGTACAGCTTAACGGTGAGTATTTTTGTCCACGTCGCCTTTCCTCTTCGCCTCACCTTCTTCCCCTTAACTTTCCCTTAACTCAGATGACATTTTATAGTAAAATAAGTCTGTTTCGAAGTTAGTAATCCAAGCACTGTTTGTATCAGGTCTCTGGACTTACTTAAATCCCTCCTTAACTCTCCAGACCTGTGTGGTAAAGTCCTGATTCTTTAACTTAGTTTTATAAAATCTGGCCTAAAACTACCTTCCAACTACTTCCAAACAGGAGTCATCTTTTCCAATCAGCTGAGACCACTCTGTGAACAACTCGCACCTACCTGCACCTGACCTCGCCCCGCTGTCTTTTCTGTCTCCTCCGATCTCTTCTCTATTTGACTTCATTAAGACCAGTTGCAGTCCAGCCTCTTCCCCAGTCCAACATCTGCCCTGTAGACTCCTCTGGACCTGGCACTTAATCTTACAGTCCCGTGCGCTAGCACATGGGGTCTCATATTTTTATTTAATTCTTATACCCTATATCTTTAACTTCACTTCTAGGACAGAGACTGTGTATTTTATTTCCCGAAATGCATCTATGAATAAGTAGAGAAAATGAGTCACAGTAATGACTTTCAGTTGGGACTCGTTGATGAGTTTTGCGTGCTTCCTCCCGTGTCTCTAACGAATCCATGAGCTCTGTCATCTTCACTGCAGCTCTGGCCTGGAGCTCCAGGAGGGCGAAGAGCCCCGGGGAGCGCCGAGTGCACACAAAGGAAGAGATTGGCCAGGGATGCTGAGAAGAAAGCCCTACTTCAGCCCCTGTTCTTAGTCACAGGGCCTTCTTTTCATGCTAAAAAAGAAAAAGAAAACACACGAGGCCTTTAAGTTGTCAGCAGTTTGAAACTCTGGACAACTGGGAGTTTGCCCCTCTAATGTAAACATTGAGATAAGAGACTTCTTTTTTATCTTCCAGATAGAACAGTTGAAACAAAAAGCAGATAAAAGAGTAAGAAGTGTAAGTAATCCTTTTGCAATGGTACCGATTTCTTTTTTCTTTTGTCAGGCTCTACAATTCTAAATAGTTTTTAAAATTGACTTTGAGGAGAAGCCAACAGTTGGCTTTTATTAAACAATATTCCATAAAACATTTGTTGGCATTTAATGCAACTCACTTTTGTTTTCATTTAAATAGTTCAGACTGGGGGGTTGGAGGGAATTTAGTCAATGTATATTGCCAACAGAAAAATGATTTGCTGCATATATCTTGTTAGTATGAAACCTGTCTTTTTAATATGATGGCCACTAGACTCAGGTGGCTATTCAAGTTAATTAAAATGAAATTAAAAATTCAGTTCTTTGGTTCCACTGGCCACATTAGAGGTGGTCGGTAGCCACGTGTGGCAAGGGCCTACCACAGTGGACACCACAAAGAGAACATCGCCATTGTTTTGGGAAGTTCTGTTGGGCAGCACTGCTCTGGAATTTGCTTCTTAGCTGTGTGCTTGAAATGAAGGGTAGGAAAAGCCTTGAGAACTAGAAACATCGGATGCCTCCTATAAGGGAACTGCTTAGATAGCAAACTGGGAGGGAAAGACTTGCCACCTGTAATTTTGGGTCTACCTTTAGTAGTTAATCTTGAAACTTAGCTCTGGCTGGTGTGGCTCAGTGCGTTGAGCACTGGCCTGTGAACCAAAAGGCCACCGGTCTGATTCCTAGTCAGGGCTCATGCCTGGGCTGCAGGCCAGGTTCACCGGTTGGGGGCGTGTGAGAGGCAACTGAGTGTCTCTCTCCCTCTTTCTCCCTCCCTTCCCCTCCCTCTAAAAAATAAATATTTTAAAAACAATTCAAACGTAAATGCAGGTAATGGAGAAACGTTAAAAATTGTTCTTCTGATCACTGATGACAGGTTCGGTATAAAGTGATAGAAGATTACAGCGGTGCCTGCTGTCCTTTGAGTAAAGGACTCAGGACATTCTGCACGAGCCCCTGCACTGAGGAGCCTCGAGTACGGCTGCGGAAAGGGGAGTTCGTTTTAGCCACCCGAGGGTTACGGTGAGTGGTAGCGAGTGCTGGATTTTGCCCTCAGTGACAAAATTGGCCTCTGGTCTAACAAAAATAATTTTCATCTTTTAAATATTTCAGGTACTGGTTGTACGGAGACAAAATTCTTGATGATTCTTTCATAGAAGGTATGAAAAATGGAAGGAGGGGGTTTAAAGGATAAGATACTGGCGGTGATGCCAGACCTCTCAAGAGTGACTTTGACAAACAGTCTCATACCACATGCATTAGGGGAACTAAAGAGAAGAGCACATCATTAAGCAACAAGAAACTCCTTGTATGTTTCTCCAGAGCACTTCTATCTGTCAGGTCTCTTTAATGACAGCCAACACTGGAGCTCATGCCCAGCCATGTGTCAGGCCCTTGTACAAGTATTTCCCGTGTTGTATGGAAGTCCCCATCAGCCCCCTGCAGGAGGTGCAAGTATTAGTATTCACGTCTTACTGGGCAGGGCACTGAAGTAGAGGCCGAGCCGCTTGCCCGAGACCGCACAGAAAACAGGCAGGGCCGGGGCCCGCCCAAGCAGTCTGGCCTTGGCATCTGAGCACTCTGTCGCTGTGCCACGTGCTCCCCTGAGTGCACTTCCCTTATAAGTTACCGTAACAACTAATGTTATCTTTGATGGTTTTGGGCAGGAGCTGTTCATAGGCTTTATTTTTTATAGCAGGTTTAGGTTCGCAGCAAAATTGAGTGGAAAATACAAAGACTCCCCATATAGCTCATCTCCCAGCTGCCCGCACACACGTGGTCTCTCTCTCAACATCCTGTACCAGAGTGGTGCATTAAAGTACAGATTAATCTAGGATGCTCTTTTAAAAACACTGGGTTGATCATAAATTAACCCCAAATGACAGCTTAGGCATCCTGGCTACAGGTTGTTTGCTACATGTTAGAAAGTCTATAAAGGGAGTTCCCAAAGGTTATACAGGAAGACAGTTCCCTGGGAAACATGGAGTGTGGCGGTTGGTGAAAAACACCCTCAGGGTCACACACGAGTAAGAGAAGTTCCCTTCGCCTCCACTTCGGGGCTGTTCTAAACCACATTAGCCCCTTTTCCAAATAATGGAATTGGGGAAACACCTATTTTCTAGATTGTTAGTAGCAAGCAGTTAAAAACCTTATTTTTCCCCCCTCAAACTCTGCTTATACAAAGTGGTAAAGGGGGTGGGGGGAGTAAGTCAGACTAAAATATGACGCATGGGACTCAGGGGTGTATCTGTTCCTCATCAGTCTCATTTTCTCCCTCAGGTGTATCCAGAATGAGAGGGTGGTTCCCTAGGAACTGCGTGGAGAAGTGTCCCTGTGATGCCGAGACCGATCAGGCCCCAGAGGGCGAGAAGAAAAACAGATAGCCACTATCGAAACACAGTTATTCTTTCAGTCCGCTCCATTACTTGAAAATTGTACACATTACTAAAGAATTATGCAATGAGCCTACTCTGGTTAAGGTGTTCTTTTCCTCAAAGGTGCCCTAGTGCCATGATCTAAATATTTTTATGACCATTTTGAAATGGAGAAGCCATTCTGCACATGCCTTTGAATTTCTGCCCCTCCTCACCACCTCTCTCCCCCCAGAAGGAAAAACCCCTCACCCAAGTAAGTCAGCTGCGCTTTCTGGAGGACTTATGCGCTGCGCATTATGGACCTCACCTGCAGGTATAGACCCTTCACCAGCAGCATCTCTCTGCGATGCTTTTAGCCAGTTTCCCCCTCAGTAGGTACTTCTTATGTGATATTCTAGACGCTGTAGCATTTGTCAGATTCAATATAAGATCAGATTTTGTTACCTGTCTTTTAATAATGCTGATTTTGTCAAATCGAATAAAGATCAATGGGTGTTCTCTATGAAGCATAGTTTTTACTTAAAGCATTTTTTTTCCTGACTACAAACTTTTGTCTTCATTCCTTATGGAAAAACGGCTCTACTATCCTGTCAAAAATTGCCATCTTCAATCCTGAGTCTTACAACATACATATTCACCTCCATAAATAAACCCCATTCACGGCATATTGAGATCACAGCATTCTGGGAGACTTTGGACCTGGTGCTCTTGAATTGCTTATGTACATTTGACTTTACCAAAACCTGGAGCGTATGCAAGAGGTAGGATCTAGCTGGTGAACTTGGATGCTTCAAGTCAGGCATGTCTAAACACGGGAGTAGAGTGACAGAAGTCACCTGTCTCAGTATTATTTCCAAGGCAGGGAACTTGGCCTTTGCTGGCCAGGCTTGTAACAGTTAACATCAAGGGAAGGGCATTTGGGAATTCAGCAGATAATGAAACAACTCTGCCCCATTCCACAGAGGGGTAGGGAGGTAGAAAAGTAGAATATACGTCAAACGGAGTCACGTACATGAAGGTGGCAGGTGGGATGGTCTGATGGGAGGTGACATTTGAGACATGAGAGGACAGGTCATATGCCTTTGGGAATTTCTTCACTTTAGGCAGGGACAAGAACGACAGGCTGGAACGTGCCTGGCGTGTCTGGGGAATGGGGAGGCAGGCAGTGCAGGTCAGTTGGAACAAGTCAGGGTGGGGAGGGTCAGGGAGATAACAGGTGTGCTGGACCGTGGGGAGACCTGTTCGTTCCCGCCTCCCCTTTTGTTTCTGTGGCTCAAGAATACATATTTCAATTTTTCTGGGCTGAGAGTCTAGAAAAACCATCCAGGAACGTTCTCCTTTACTCCTAGTTAGAGGCCAGGACAGTGCTCAAGGTTTCTTAAGAGTGTGACAAAGATCGTAAAGGAGCAAAACAAATCAGGCTCCACTGGAGTTCGGGCTCAGCTGTAATTTGCCTTGTTGCTCACGGTAGTGGGATAAGAAGGCCTGGACATCTGAACATAATAATAAGTCCCTGCAATAGTTTTCAAACTTGGTCGCATCCTGCAATCACCTAGGGACCTTTAAAAAGTCCCACTGTTGAGGCTGTACCCCACACCATTTCCATCAAAATCTGGGGTAAAAGCCAGATGTTTGTACCTTTTTAATCTTGCAGGTAATTCTAGTGTGCAGCCAAGTGGGAGAGCCCCTGGCTGGCATGATTGTTAGTTAAGTGGTCCTTGTGTAAGACTGACTCGTTGCGGTCCGTGAGGAGACACACCACAACGTACGTATCTGCAATAGTTTATTCCTTTAAGGACTTTACATTTACAAGTGGAAGCAACACGTGTTGTCTGGGGGTAAACTGGAGCAGGAACTGGTGCTCATGGGAGAAAAGGTCAGTGGGTTCCTTCTCAGAAGACAAGGCTGTTGTGCAGGTGGTCAGCTTCCCCACAGGTCTTCGCTCCCAGCCCAGGAAGTTTTTGCTCAGCGCTTTGCTCCTTTTACTGGAAAGTGTGCTCGACGGTGTCTCAGCTCCTGTCCCCACAGCAGACTTTGGGGAACAGATTTAGTCACCAGTAGTAGCCCTGTAGATAACAGTTTAAGAACATTCTTTTTGGACACCTCATAGGCCCAATTTGTAGTTCTCCAAAGTCAGAGAAACGAGAGAAGCTGGGAAATTTTCGGTATAATCAAACTTCCTTTCTGTATCAAGACTTCAGCGTACACACAAATGCATCGAAGCAATCCGTTTCACAGATGTGAGAAGTTAAAATTTGATTTAAAATTGTCAAGGTCTCATGGAGTAGTTAGCAAACAGGAATTAAAAACAGCTTGTCAGAACTTAAAAGTCTCTTAACTTGAACGCTGGAAAACTTAAGTGTTGTGACTGTTGACAAGTTAAGTTTTACTGGAAAACTATAAGAGTCACAATGGGTCATTTTGGCTCTTGAACTAGTGGTTACTTGGAGGAAGGGACAATATATATGTAAATAGATCTTGAAGAAAAGTATGTTGATACTTTTGATAAAAGTAGCCCGAAAACCTAAATATCAGCAAATGATGGAAGGACAAGATTTATTTAGTATACAACTAAGCTTCCACATTATAAGTCTCTCAATATTTCTTAAAAGCTCCCAAATTATGTTTATAATTTAGGAGGTAGAACAACAGACAGGGGAAAAGAAAAAATAAAAAAGCTTAGGTTTTAATGCACATTCCCACAAGGCAGGCCACCTCTAAGCCCCTTCCAGCCATTGGTACCTGATCTACTCCTGGATGGTCTTGTACAGGCTGTTGATTTGGGTCTCGAAGTACTTGGAAAGATCTCCCCGCTTTGCTTTCAATGTTGGTGTCAAGAGCCCATTTTCAATGGAAAATGGCTCTGAGTGGAGAAAGATGCTTTTGACCTGGAAGAGAGAAGATGAATAGACACACGCCCGTGCACACACGCGCATTTCTTAGTGTTTTGGACTTTTCTGCAGAACCCCCTAATTGCTATGGTAAGAACCTTAAAGAACATTTCATCTTATAAAAGCAGGGTTGAAAAAGTGGTACAAAGAAAGAGAACAGTTACACATGCCCCTTCTCACACACTTAGGGAAAGAAAGGAGTTGGGAGAAGGGAGAACGAAGAATGAACAGCAAGACAGGACTGCACGAATAACTATAAAAGGTCACTGCCAATCATACTCAGTAGGTTCATGGTACAAACTCTAAAGCCAATTCCTTGGAAGCTGTACATTTAAACCCCATTATAAGTGCCATCTTTAGGACTTTCTAGCATTCCTTGAAAGACAAGGATTATAGCAGCAATACATACCTGTTCAAAGGATTTAAGGCCACTTTCTTTCCCAAGTTTCTGCATATCTTGTAAAATGGCTTCCTTTATGGCCTGAAAACAGAAAACATGGCTTAAAGCATGGCTGTTTGACAAAGAGCCTTAATGACAGGCTAAGATGAATGGACTCAAAGTTCCTGCAAAAGCTCCTGGGAGTATAAGCAGGATGTAGAGGTACATACAGTTGCATTTTATGCCTGTTATTGCAAAGAAAGCAAGTCAATGAGAAGAAAAGGCAAATCTAAATATTAAAGGACTTTTCTCTGAATGACAATTTAAAACTTGCGATTTTCCAGTTTTTTCCCCCCATAAAGAACGTATCACTATAAAAAAGACAGGGTTCTTTGTTGTTTTTAAACTCACCATCCTGTCCTCCAGTCTAATAAAACCAGTCATTCCATTTAGGGTTCAGCCACCTGCCATGAACTCAGGGGGAGTCTGTTCTTTCAGACAGAAGGCTGTGGGAACTCATGGGTGCCTGAGCTGGTGGGGTCTCCCCTCTCCCACAACAGGCTCCACAGGGGTGCATGCAGCTTTGCTGAGACTTACTTGGTTTTGGCACAGTTCTTCAAAGGAGCCCTTAACCCCAAGTTTGGCTGCAAATGAGGGGAGCACATCTGAGTCGGGAACCACCACCGCTACTAAGGATGACTGTGGAAAACAAACAGGGAATGTGAGAAATCTTGTACGGTGTCTCCTGGTGAGTAAAGGAAGCGGGACCAGATCTTTGGAAAAGACACTTCCCAAGACCTCAGATCCCGGGCTAGTGCCCTACTCGTCCCTCACCGGACACTTCCAGCTCACTTGGAACTCTGCTCAAAAACTGTCCTACTCAAATTTGGTTGTTCGAAAAGGAGTGGTGTTCCCCATTAAGCCTAAAGCATCTCTGGCCTGTCCTACCAACCCTCCCCTCCTCCCCAAGAGCTACGTTTCAGTGTAGTATATATCGATATGAAGCAGTATGCACCAAAGGACTTCGACTGTAGTGGAAACTAAAATCTGCATGGGTCCCTTTTTACTGAATGGCTGCACTTTAGTATAACAGTTTAACAATTCTACAGACTTGGTTACAGAGTCCATCATAACTTCAAAGAAGTTATTTTCATTTATATTGCCTCCTTTCAGGGTTAGAAGCTCGTATCTTCTCGTCCTAAACCTACCTAAACAGATTGCCTGTGGCTATTGGAATCAGCACGGTCCGTGCCCGAAAATGGCTAAAGTTCAAAACGGTGTGTTACCCTTAAGCTTTCCCCGTGTACGAAAACCTGCAGCACCAGTCTACTCCTGATGTAGATATTTTCTATCTTCTCTGGAGCAATGTATTCTCCCTGGGCCAGTTTGAAAATGTTCTTTTTCCGGTCAACGATCTTCAGAGTTCCATTCTACATGAGACAGACAGATGGCAACGTCAGTGTTTTCGAGCCCTTTGTGGGGGGGGGGGGTGGTTAGGGAAGAAAGTAGCAAAGTCACAGGTATCTTCCTGCTTTAAACTTGACCTTTCCAGAGACTTGAACGATCTCTCATTTCTCATTCTTGGCTTTGAGGAAAGGGGAGGAAAGCAGCTTCCAGCAAGAGCCTGTCTACGCTGTTTGTCTACTTTGGAGAGCCCATGTGCAGCCTGCTGGGGTTGTATAAGTGGTTGTCTCATCTGCTGAACATATTTGGCAGCCCCAAATTTCCAATAACTTAATCTCCGATTACTCCACTTCAAGCACTTCCAGGAATAAGGAAGAAGTGACCTTTTACTAAGAATGTTGAATAAGTTAAAACTCCCCATCCTTGACTCCATGTTGTGTATCCCTCTGGTCAGAGTGGGAAACAGGCTAAAACAGCTCCACCGTGTTAGTGCTAATCAAGCAAGTCAATAGTTGTGCTTGTTAGGCCAGAAGCAGGGCTGGGAAGGGCTCTCTGACCACCAGAGCTCATTTGCAGCTTCCTTTCTCTGAGCTAATCGGTCTGAGGAGCTTATGTTCTTAGGGATTTGAATTGCAGAATTGGGACGAGTAGCAAATGCAACCCACATGATCACACGCTAAGCAGGGCAGTAGCCTGAACCAACCCTGGGACCAAGACAAGGCCAACTCAGGAAACCAGACATAATCCAGCCTAACAGACATGATCTGAAAGTGACTAGTAAGGCTCAGTCAGCCCTTTATAATTTTTCTTTGGGGACACATCTATTGCCCATATCCTATGCTTATGAGAACAGAGGACTCTTGTGCAGACACAGGGCATGGCAACACAATATGGCTGGACCAAAATCTATGAAATACATCGTCAGGACCAATGTTCCCGGAGTGCTCGCCAAAGGGTCTCTGAATGTCACTTAAATCTGGAGAATACTGAGCCAGAAAGGAGTCAGGTCCGGTTACACCCCCCACTGCCCTAGCACGTGGTGGACAAAAACTTTCCAGAGAGAAAACCTGGGAAGACCCCCTGCAGGGCTTCTAAGGCCCCATCACGATTGTACAATGATTTCCTCTCTCCTCAGGGAAGCAGATGGGGTTGACAGAGACTATGGTCATTGTTTATCTGCACGGTACGCTTGAACACGTTTCCATTCCTGCCACAGAGGGGCAGTCAAGGTCACCGAGAGGCAAAACCTAGCCTCTGCTCACTCCTCGTTTAGAAACTGGCTGGCCAGCGTTCATCTGTCTCTACATATTAAGTGGAAAGAAATGCATTTCTTTGAAACTTATAAAAGGAAAATGTTATAGGCCCATGGAGTTAACAAATCACAATTCTACCTCAAGAAGAGTAAACAAACAAACAAAAGAACAGACTACTATACCCCTTTTCTGGAAAAGTCACCTAATTTTTCTTTGGCTGTAAGCAAATACAGGCCTGGCACAAATAACGCCCTTTTTAATTACTCTTTTATTACAAAATCATAAGCATGTAATTCTGTAACATAACAATATCACACTCAAGCACACCATGTGATATTTTAGGTGAAATGTTCAAATTAAAACTATAGATCATGACACCCATATTATTACCCTACTGCCACCCTCAAGCAGGTGTTACTTCTGCCAGACCCTGCATATTCCACTGTGAAAGGAGTCCCACCAACTTGGCCAATTATCCCATTCGCATCTCCACGCATTTGTTGAGCAGACAGTCCTCCCCAGCAGCACAGACTCCCAGGAGAAATACCCACCGGGAGCCAGCGCCCGATGTCTCCCGTGTGAAGCCAGCCATCTTCATCCAGGGCTTCTGCCGTCTTCGCAGCGTCCTTCAAGTATCCTTTGAACACGTTGGTGCCCTTGATGCAGACCTGCCCATAAGATGGTACAAAGTGGTGACTATAGCAAAGGCTACTACTCCTCTGCTAAAACACCTGTTCTCATCCCTGAATCACTTGATGGTTTCAACTACAGTGTGCAGAACACAATTGTAATCCCTAATGTGGTGGATAGAAGAGTGAGGCTCAGAAAGATTCCATTCCTTGCTCATTCCAAGATCTCGGAGGAGTCAACCCTGTCAAGCCTGCTCACAGCTGTGTGCTCTTCCTGATACAAACATGCCCACCATGATGGTCTGGACACGACCACCAGGCACAACTGACCCACCTCTCCTTCACCGTTCACTGAAAAGTAGTTCATGTCTGCCACATCTTCCAGCTTTACATGATTGCAAGCCAGGGGGACTCCAACATGGCCTAGAACGCAACATACCGAGTCAGCTGGGAAACCATAAGACGGCGACCATTCTAGGCACATTTCAGAGATACTTATGGATTGACTCTAAAAATTTTCAAAAACTTGAAAAATCATCTGCCAAGATAGGAAGGACTGGACCAGAACCTGAGTTGGCTTTTGCCACATTCATCCAGAGCACCAAGGTCATCTAAACTCATAAGTTCAAGTTCAGTTTGAATCCTTTTCCCAACCACTGTACCTCCTGCCCAGTCGATGGAGAACTCACCTGGTTTCCAGTCCCCAGGGGATGTCAATGTACAGCCAGCAGTGCATTCTGTTTGACCATAAGCTTCATACACCTGAGAAAACCAAAGAAGGGCTTGGAGACTGGCTCATGATAAAGCAGGACCTGGCCATGCCTTATGGCAAGACAGGAGGAGAGCAAGGTCTCTGAGGGCTGGAGGACACTTGGCATCATCATGCCTTGAATTCATGCCTGAGCTGCTAAGTCTTTACAAGTGGGGGTTTGCTCAGAAACCAAAAGGGTTCAGAAACAGACCAAAGTATGGAAACTTGTACTGTACTTGAGGGAAATTGCCATTTCAAGTGGAAGGGAAAAGGAGAGTTTTTCAATAAGGGATGTGCAACCCAGTGGCAACTGGGCTTGAACCTGGGCAATGGAGCACTTATAAAGGAAGCCAAGTAGCATTTTTAAAGGGAAATAGCTCCAGCTACAGTACAGAACAGCGGTTGGCAAGCTCTTTCTCTTTATAGGACCAGATAGTAAATGGTTTAGTTAAACATGGCGGTCTTCCACTAAAATCTTTCTTTTATAAAACTAGGCAACAAGCCAGAGTTGCTGCATTGTGCCAGCCCCTGGTATAAAGGATAACCTTGACCAGAGAGGCTGGTAGGGGGAAACGAGTACCTAGTGTACTGTGGTGGGGGTCAGTGGTGCTGTGGTAGACAGAGCTGTGAATGTGGAGAAGAAGCCTTTCTGGGAGGGGCATGACAAGAGGACCTTCTGACCTGTCCGTTCAGGGGCTGAGGGAGACAAAAGTGGTAAGAATGGCCAGAGGGCGCTAATTTGAGAGACTAGTGGGCCTCTGGCCTTGGCATCCACACAGAATCTTTTTTCATGTTGGTCCCACAGACAGGGGTCCCCCTGTGAGGACTAGACTGTCTGTTTCACTCATGCTCTGCATGTTGATCAAATGAATTAGCTATTTGGAAGGAAAAAGAGAAAATATCCATGTCCAAGCCCTTGTACTAAGTTCCAGATGGAGCAGCGATTTAACTGGATAAAAGTAAAGCCAAAAGATTACCAGAAAACATAGAGGAAAACAGTCTATAAATATTGAAGGCTAGAGAGTGTTATCTAAGCAAATCAAAAACTACAAATAGGAAAGATTAATCCATCTGACTACATAAAAATTAAAACTTTCATATAGCCATACATGAGGCAATAGATGAGACTAGGAAAAATATTTCTAACATGACAAAAATGAGTAATACTACAATACGAAGAACTCTTAGAAAGCAATGTCAAAGAGAACCAAATTATCCTTTGCCTGTTTTTCTATAAGGAAGTAAGAGTAATTTATGGAACAAGTACAAGTGCCAATAAGCCATTGAAAAGATGTTCAGTGTTAATAAAAGAAACAAAACCCCAAGAAGGTTCTTCATGTACCTGATGGGCTAAGATTTAAATGACTGACAAAGCCTTTCACTGGCAAGAATATGGAAAAATAAGGCCCCATGCATCATTTGCAGAAATGCATTAAAAAATATAATATCTTACTGAAGGGAAGTTTGATAATCTATAGTAAAACCCCAATGTACACTTTAACCCAAAAATCTCTACCTGTCAGGATTTATCCCAAATTGATCATTGTATTAGATACTAAAGAATATAAAGGTATTCTTATCACTTAACTGATTAAAACAGAAAAAAATGGTAAGAAACTTGTCCATTAACAGCAGACTAGTTATTTAGGTACATTCATCAAACTATTCCAAAATCATAAAAATAACATAGATCTTCCTTTGACAAGGAACGATGTCGATGGGACAGTTTAACAAATATCTTAGATGCATACAGCATGGCTAAAAGGATCATTTCTCCTGAGGTTGAGATTTGGGGGTGACTTTCCCTATATGGTACTTTTCAGCTGGGTTTTCAATTTTATTTAAACAGTGAGTCTGCCCTGGCTGGTGTAGCTCAGTGGATTGAGTGCGGGCCTGCGAACCAGACAATCGCGGTTCGATTCCCAGTCAGGGCACATACCGGGGTTGCAGGCCGGTTCCCTGCAGGCCAGTTCCCAGCAGGGGATGCACAAAAGGCAACCAGGGGATGCACAAAAGGCAACCATACATTGATATTTCTCTCCCTCTCTCCTTCCCTTCCCCTCTAAAGATAAATAAATAAAATCTAAAAAACAAAACAAAAAAAATACAGTGAGTCTTATTTGTTGCCAAAGTGAAATCAGCTATATTCAAAGGTGCTTGGCTTACCGGACATCCCAGTGCCGCCCGGAGGAACGTCAAGACGGGAGCAGAGATGGGAGCAGCCCCGGTGACCATAATGCGAACGTTCCCACCCAGGTTGTTCTGTTGGGTAGAAACAAAAAGACCTGCTGAAGCCTGTTCCCTTGGCTTCATTTTTCCCCACTGCAAAATGGGTTGAACAATCTACCTATTCTAGTGATGAGGATTCAACTTGGTAGTTTCCAAAGCACTTAGAATAGGGCCTGGCATTGTGGAAAAGCACTTAAAATGTTGACTATTATTGTCACCACTATTCATAGCTGGGACCAGATCTGCATTTTTCAAAAACATTGCCTCATAGAATTTGTGTTTTTGGTCCCTATGCATTACTTACAATTACAACAGACCACCTAAAAAATGTGAGACAGTGCTATAACCTAAGTCAAGTTGGTTTTCTGCATTTTGACTGATTTTCTTCAGTGGCAAAGTTGTCCAAGAGAGATCTTAAATGGTGAGTGAACACAGAAGGTGCAAAAGACCCTCCAGTTAAAGAGACAACGGACCATCAGAGGGAAAGCTAGAGATACTGAGTCACAGGGCAGCCTAGACCTCTGCCTGGCTCTGTGCAGGGTCCACCCAACCTACCTGGATCTTTGCAAAGATCAGCTTGTCCCACAGACTGTTCTTTCTGATGATACCCCTTTTCACTTCACTGAATTTACAGGAAATAGCCAAGTTCAATAAGAACTTCTTCAAGGGTGTCTTGGCTTCGTTTTGAACCTGCAGGGTGATACCTCCTTTTAGTTGGAAACCTATTCAAGATACTCACCAAGGCTCATCCGTGAGCAAGAGATGTCTAGCTTAATAAGGAAGTCGCTCTCCATCATAAACTGGTTTTCTGAATAATAAGGAGTCCAGAGAATTATGTCCATACTAAAAAGGAAGTGAACTTAGTACATACATTCAAAGCTCCAGCTCCTCCGGATACCTTGGCCAACAACTTTGATAACTGAGATAATAATCACATCTTCGAAAGAGGGTCATCTACCTACAAAATCACTACCAGATAAAAAACTGCTTGATGGGCAGTACCCTTAGGGTGTTTTATTTAGTAGGTCAAAGAAAGTCGCAGAACTCTAATTTTTAACCAGCACCACTTCTTGTTCCCCTTGTCCCTCTTTCGCTTATATATTCTAAACTTGGAGAAATTCTTCTTTCTCTATAACCAAAGTTCCATTAGCCACAGCATATGAAACCCAGTAGATTTTCCTACTCAGATCATTTCTTCCCTGTGGACTTCATGCAGACACCATTTTCCAGGCTCACACAATCTGTCCTGTCTCCCCGACTCTGCCTTCTCATGACTCTATAATCCATTGGCCACACTCCTGTCAAAGGAGAGCCTCACCAGCTCAACTCAAAGAAGCCCATCATATTTATAAAACTTATATCCTGACTCCATATTCTGGCCTTCAAATCTCCATCCTACTGGAGGTCAGATTCAAGGAACTCAAAGTTCTTCTCCAGTTCAAAATTCAAAAATGACTCAGCCCTACTTCATAGTCTGTACTCCCATTTCTGGACCCCCAGCCAAGCGGGGCTGCTCAACCTCACCCCTAAACTCCACCCCTAATGCCAACCATGCTCTAGGCTCTGGATATCTACTCATGTCTGTACCATTATCTCGCCATCTTTCCCCAAGATCTACACTCGAATGCTGCCTGCGTTGCGTTATTCCTGACACCTCTGGCAGCCTTAAGAAATTGATCTTTTTTTCAACATTCACAAGACTTCCACTAACAAGTCACTGACAAGGAGCTGGAATGTAGAGACTCAAACTAATAAAGTCCGGCATTTTAAAAATAAGTTCCAGAAGTGAGCTGTGTGTTAATACCGTATTATAGAATAACTCTCTTAAAAATAAAAAAAGTCCATCCAACAAATGAACAAAAACAACTGACTCTAATAAGCCCATTGCGTGGTGAGGAGCTGTTAGAATTGTCAAGTCTGATAGAAACCAGGGCTTTCAAGGTCTAGGGATCATCTGTGCCCTAGAATGCCACCTGCCCTGTAACTGGGGCCACAGGACAGCACCTGGTGAGATTCACAGGAGTGAAGGGGAATGCTGGAATCTCGGGGGTGGGGGCCAAACATGGGAAGAAAGGCCACATGTTGTTTTCTTCGGGCCCCCACGCCTATGGAATTATGAGGTGACGTGGCACACCGTTAAGAGCCTAGCTGCTCTTACTATATTGCCTGGGTTCAAATTCCAGTCCCAAGAGAAATTAGCCAAACTGAGACGTGAGTGACAGTCATGCAAGGTGAGCTCGAGGGGTTGTATGCCAGGAAGCAATGAAGGCATTAAAACCACCGGGGTCATGCCAAAGGACATGGGAACAACATGCTGGGGCTGCCAGCTTCCAAGGTGGGAAAATGTGAACACTGAGAATGACTAAATACACAAGTATGCAAATCATTAGTTCATAATATTACAAAGAAGATCATCTCATTGGCCAGTTTTAAAGACTGTTGGGGCACCGAGTCAGCATTTTGAAGACTGATACATAAAGGAAAAGAATAAAATATTTGTTATGCCCTTATGGAAGAATCTCAGCTAATGAATGCAGGAGAAATGGCTGATTTACAAAAATCACTATTTTGCTGTGATAAAAAACAGAGCACTGATTAATGACAGCTAAAATAATTATGTGACAGTGATTCTGGACTGACCCCTTGTTAGCTATGACTCTGGACAAGTTATTTAACTTCTGAGGCTCAGTCTCTTCACCTGTAAGTGAGGGGTAGTAAGTGTAGGCTTCATGTAGTTTTGTGAGGATTAGATGCTGGGATGCATATGAAATGTTTATCTCAAGCCTTAGCAAGCAGCCCAATAACCAGAAGGTGTAATGAAAACACAGTAACAACTTCCCAGGAAGCTGGCTCAATGTTAAGGGTCTCCCCAAGTCTCTGAATTGAGCTCTTTCTCCAGATTAGGTCCAAATAGTCTCATTCAGAGGAAAAAGGGCTTATTTGTTATATTTATAATGGCTTTTCACAACTGCATTCGTAAGTGTGGATGTGTGTAGATGCTTGTAGGGAGTGTGTGGCTGTGGTGAAAGGAGACCAATTCTCAACAACACGGGGTCCCTAAGAGCCTCAGCCAGGCCTGAGCCACAGACATATCCTCCATCTCACCATCAGCCCAGCGGAAGCAAGGTCCATACCTTATCATAGACCCTGTTAAGGAGTCGAGGCACCACAGGAAACATCGTGGGCTTCAGAGTCTTCATGTCGTCCTGCAGCAACCGGATATCTCCTTGGAAGAACCCAACTTTGGCTCCAGTAGAGTACACAACAGTCTAGAAGCAAAACCGAGGGACAGGGGTCAGGGGAGGGCCTGTCTTCAAGAGGGTGTCTCGAGAGCCTTGCTGCTCACGGTGCCTTCTAGTGCCGCAGCACTAAGAAAAACCACTCTCCACTAAACTGGAACATGCCCATAATTGTAAAACCACCTCAGTTTCCAAAATGTTAAAATGTGAAAAAATATGCTCATTAGAATTGATATTATATTAATTAGTCAGATATCAACATTTTAGTCCAAGGACCTGGATCTCTCGTTTATTATTTCATGCATTAACAGAGAAACTGGTAGAAGAAGTATTTAAGAATAGGACTGAGAGCCAAAGGATCAGATCAGAGCATGGTTGGGGGCGTGGGGTGGTGGGTGGAGTAGAGAGAGGATTTTTTCTATTCCTACTACCACCTGTGTTTTTTTGAAAGGCCAGCATTGCTTTCGAATCGGCCTCAGAATGGCACGAAAAGCCTGGAGGCCACTCATGGACGGGCAGCTCCCCACCAGGGCCCACAATCCCAAATCACTCCATCTTACACACTCTGGACTTTTTACCCGAACCAAAGGCTTCTTCTCTGGCCCCTTATAGGGAACTTCCTTTTCTCTAATCTTAGATCTTTTCAAAAATTCTAACCAAAATAAAATTAAAAAGAAGAAAAAAGATCTCCTACCACAAGTCAGAATTAAGGGTCCATAATAAGCTCCTGGCTTTGACCTCACTTGACTCACAGACACTGTATGTGAAGGCAGGAACAAGCCTGAGCCCCATCGGACATGTCACGGGAAGGACTGTAAGTACTGAATAGCTGCCTTTGGCATAAATGTGGGACAGGGCACTCACCTGTACAACCCTCTCAAACATATGAGCCAAGGGGAGGTAGGATATGGACACATCCTCAGGGGTGGGCACAAAAGTATGCTATAGATCGGGAACAAAGAGGAGACAGAATTGGATTAATGCCAACCTTCTCTTCCAAAGGAAATTTAAAAACTGCTCCTATGAGCTAGAGTTAATAAGACTCCATTGTATATTTGAAAGTTGCTAAGAGAACTGATCTTAAAAGTTCTCGTCACAAGAAAAAAAAATTTGTAACTAGGTATAGTGAAGTATGTTAACTAGACTTACTATGAGGATCGTTTTGCAATATATACAAACATTGAGTCATCAGACTGCACACCGGAAGCTGTTATAACATTAGATGTCAATTATATCTCATTTAAATTTTTTTTAATGTAAAACTACTTCCTTCCAGGATACCACACACAGTTGTGCCCGTGGTACACGGTGTAAGTGTAAGAGGCACGCTGAGTGTAGAGGGCTGTGGGCGTGGGCCTGAAAGACCAAGGCCTGAGAAGGATGCTCTTCCACACAGAGATGCACAAGTCTTTGTCCACACGCAGGCCCTTAACCTGCTTTTGTTTTCCTCTCTGCATCCTCTACCTTCAAGACTAAAATCGTATGGCACATTCACAAGTTACGGAGGCCTTCTTTTTCAATTGTCCACTGACCTCCACACATCTGAGAAAAGCAGAAGCATTTGAAACAACATTTTGATGGGTTAGCATGGCTCCTTTGGGGTCACCTGTAGAAAACAAGAGATGGAGGGAAAGATCCTTTAGGCAACCAACAGGTAGCCATTGGCTTTGAAATAAGAAGTTCCATTCAATTGGTTCGGTTCCAGGGAGCCAAGAGCTTCTCCTAGCACCATGTCTTTGTATGAATGGTTTAGGACTCTGCTTATGAATGATTAGTGCCCCCAGAGATTCTGCTGCTGACAGCCTTCCACCACCACACTGGGCACGGCTGTAATCTCAGATGGCAACACGGGAGAAAAGAAAAATGCAAGCAACACCCCCTTCCTTGTGTTGTTTTTATGTTCAAGACCTCAGAGCTAACAATATTACCTAGCTGTCATTTTATAAACTGGGCAGAATGGAATGGATATAACAGTAGGTCGTGGTGGGCCACATGAAAAGCGACAAAGAGTTCTAAGAGAGAGATAGCTGCCACGTGGGGATGGGGTGCACAGTGATCTGTATAGAACTATCCCTGGGTCATCTTGATTGAATGACCATTCTAGCAGTTGGTGTCAAGTTGAGAGAGTGGTGGGTTGGAGAAGAAAGTTGATTTTTCTGATGCCATCTTTAAGACCCCTGAAATCTACAGCATGTAAACACCTCCTGGTATGTTCAGTGACGTTTACTTGCTGATGCATCTAGTTTTCCACTTGGATACCTGTACGCAAAAGCCTCCCCTAAGGCTAGCATTCACTTACCAGCCTACCAGGGCTTAGTGACTCAAGCCATGTTATTGGCTCACCAGAGGCCTCTGGGACAGCTTCATGGGCACTGACCTGTGGTCCCACTGGTGAAGCAGATGATGCCCAGGTCTTCTGGTTCAGGAGGCTGGAAGGGGAAGTACGAGGGCTTAGTCTGCCATGAACTTTGGGAGTTGAATATGCAAGGTTCAAATTTGAGCAGAAGAAAACTTACCACGGGTTTTCGGAAGTTCTCTTTGCCTATATTCTACAATGGGCAGAAAAGCAAGAAAGACAGACATTAGGCGAGACAGACAGACCCAGACAGACACAGCCCTCTCCCTTTTTCACAAGAATACATCTGTGGGAATACAGCAGAAATTTCAACTGGAATCGGGCCCAGAAGCCCTATGGAAAAGCATACGTGTATCTGGATTACAAAGCTTAAGAGGGCAGATCCCAAATGTCCGAACTTCCCACCATACTCTTAAGGTTCAGTCACCAGCCCCATTCTTAAATCTGTTGAATAATATGGACAGTGACACAGGAAGGCTTACTACCACTCATTGCCCTGAGTACTTACTATATATTAACTCAGTTAACTCTTTAAATACCCTGTGAGGGAGGGACTATTTTATACTCATTTCACAGAAAGGGAAAATGAGAGATGAATTAACTTGCCCAAGGGCACCTAACTAGTAGTGCCTAGCTCTGGAATCACATCCTTAACTGCCACAAATGACTGCACCTATCCATTCTCTACTTAGAAGTCGTGCTCACGGGCCACAGACCTTACTTCTCCCCTGGCATGGTTTCCCGGTTGTCTTGGGGAAATTTTTCTAGAAGCTCCACAGCATGAGTCTAACTTACTCCTGCCCTGCCACCCCTGGAGGACAGCAGCCTGCGTTCTTGAGTTGATGCCAGGCCAGGAGCCCGTGGTGTCAGGATGGCCTTGGAGCCGCGGGCCGAGTTTCAGGTCATTACCTCAGCATCAGAGAAGGACAAGACCTCCACTCCACTCTTCTCCCCTCTTTCTTTCAGGTCCTCCTTAAAGGGGTCCATGAGGATGATCAATTTCAGGCTTGGAGTGAGGCTCTTCTCCATATTTTCCAGCAGGACCGATGCCTTTTCGGGTGTATCACAGATCACAGCGGCGATATCAGCTGAAAGCAGAAACAGAGTCAGAGGTCATCCTCCTGCTCTGCTACGTGCCTCATGGTCTTACAGGAAGGAAGGGATTTTTGAAAATTTCAAAGCTAGTGTGTCCCCCAAAGGCTATTAGTTATGACTGCAAATGAGATTTGTAATGTGTAAAACCTGAAACATTTCACTGGCATTAAAGGAGCTTAACTGAAGCAGAAGCAGGGCTCCCTTGCACGCTGTCAACACAGCATCTCTAGAGAAGCCACACGGTTCTTTCTGCTTAAGGATACAGACCACTGGTGGTGGGGTCGCTTGGGTGTGGTCCTGCCACTGTGTTTTATTTGGGGGAGGCGAGTAAGGGGTAGAAGGGAGAGGAGGGGCAAACTGAATATTAGCTGACAAGCATTTTGTGATTCTAAATGTTAGCATTTGCTTTGATACTTGTTTACACAAATAGAAAACACCTGATTGTGTCTATAGTTCGAATGGACATACTCATTTAATCTATTTCTGTGAAAGAAAATAACGTCTTGGATATGTGGAAGGGCATTACTTGCCCACTGAACTTGTACTTGTTTGACGATGGTAATGTTTTTACAGATTCACCATAAACATTTGTTCACACTGGTTAACTGTACTGACTTAGATTTACAAAAGTAGGAATTTAGACGTTATGTTTCACAGCCATTTAGTCACCCAGTCTGGACTTCTCTCCAGTGTGGCCACAGTAAATAGCCTCCTCCTGTAAACTCCATTGTCTTGCTATGTCACCTTAACGCATTTCATTGACTCTATCTGTGCATAGCCCTGCCGAGTGGACTTTTTGTAACATCCCTGTGAACTATAGTATATTGCAGGTATTACAGGACAGCAAAGATAAGAGCATTTTTCAGGTCACAGCATGCCAAGTCCGCTTACAAAAGCAGACATTGAGGAATTACTCAGCATGAAGAAAGAACAGAGTTGTAATGTAATAGCAAAATTTTACCCTTATTGATAATGTATATGACGGCTTCTGCTCCCAAGGTGTCATACAGGGGGATGGCCACCATGGAGTATGTGTAACAAGCTAACTCGGAGATGATCCACTGTATGGAGAGAAGTTCACATTAGGACTAGGGCACACTTTGAAGAGGAAAAGCATTAGTCATTTAGCCAACGAATTCTTTTGTGGTTACTTTGCATTAGAAAATCACTGTGGGGCATTAGGAGCACAGCTAATGCAACCAAATACAGTTAAATAAAGGAGGTAAGATAGGCACAGACAACTATAATACAAAAGTAGGCCAGGGTGCAAAGGTAAAGTGTGACACATTCCATCCGTAAGAGATATGGAGAGCATTACGGAGTTTTAAGGAGGCAGTGGTCACTTTAAGGGGTCGGGTAAAGCCTATCTGGGGCTGCCTTGGGGAAAGTGATAGAAACTGGGCAGGGCTGTGAAAGACTGGGAGTGGGCGAGAGTGGGCTGTGGGGGTGGAGCCAGCAGAGGCTCCGGAATGAACAAAGTCAGGAGAGCATGACGTCAGTGTATACACATCAGGAAGCATGAAGAGTGACCGAAAAGAAGTCTAGGCATTACAGGCAGAATTGCAGCCCTAGCCCCCCAGCGCCATGGATTTTGGACATGGGGCCTTTAAAGAAGTAATTAAGGTTAAATGAGTTCATAAGGTGGTGGGTCCTAATCTAACATGACTTACGTCCTAAGAAGAGGAAGAGACACCGGAATGACAGAGAAAAGGGAGGACACAGTGCGAAGGCAATCAACGTCAAGGAAAAAAGGAAGTCCCCAGGAGAAACCAAACTGGCTGAAACCTTGATCTTGGACTTCCAGCCACCAGAACTATGAAAAAATATATTTCCTTTGTTTAAACCGCCAGTTTCTGGTATTTTGCTATGGCACCCCTAGCAGACTAACTCACTAGGTTGGGTCCTAATTTCCTTAACTGGAGGTGAAGATATGTCTCCTCAATGATGCTGGGTATAACAAATTCATCCCAATCATCTTAATGTCTAAAATCTGCTTTCAGTGGTCTCAGTAGCAATGGGTGCCTTGGTTTACTTCAGTTACAACATGCAAGTTCCAACTCTGACATGAGTACATCCTTTTCTAGAACATCCTCTTATTGGCCAGTCCCTTTTAGCTTCTTTGTTTTCCTCATGCAACAGACTGACTTAAAATGACTCTTAATGCACTGAAAATAAGAGAAGTCTACCCTAGTCACCTAGGGTAGAGCACTATACATTCAACCAGGAATTAAGGAGGCCCTGAGTTGTCACTCGCTCAAGGGGAAGTATATTTAAAGAATATGAGATCTTTAAATTGTTTTGGTAAGTCATCAAGTGTCAGAGTGATGGATTAGGGGTGGGTTTAAAGTGTTTAGACTTAAGCCCTGACTCATGTGCTTGAGTTAACTTCAATATGATTACCTCTGGCCTATTCTGAGCAAAGATGCCAACGAAAGAGTCTTGTGATGGTTTATGTCCTTTATGCAAGAGACAGGAGCCCAGGTACTCTGCTCGATCAGACACCTACAAAAAAGGGAGAAAGGAGAGAGGCAAAACCAGCAGTGAAGATCCAAAGGTACCAAATTAGCTCGGGATATCACATCAGCAAAAGGAGTTTTCCCAAACAGGAGCCTGACTTACCTGTTTGTAGGACAGCCATCTGTAAGGTTGTTTTGGTTTTCTGTATCCCAAGCAAGGCCCATTGTCTATAAACATAACATTAAAAGAAAATCAGCTCCATTTGTAAATTCAAAAAATAAATGAAGAGATTGTCTGCAGATAAGGTAAAGGAGAATTAGAAAGAGATAGGACACAAGAAATAAATCTAGTTAGAACGTGAGCTTCTCTTATGTGCCAAGGAAATACAAAGGCAGGAAGTACTCAGTTCTCAAAGATAGAGAAAGTCTTACAGGGAACCTTTGGGAAATTCTACAGAACAGGGGTGGCTTAGTGTTGGAATATGTGACCTCCATGGTAACAGGCATTCAGAGAAAGCTATGAATAGGGGATTTGCCCTAATAATGTGAACAAGTGGAAGCCCACAAGTAGACAGCCTGAATTGGATAATCTTGAGCTGAGCATCCCTATAAGAAAAAAAGCATGCTCATAAAAATATAGAAAGAAATCAAAATGTGAATCGTCAATAATCTTGTCACATAATACCATTGTTAACACTGATATACTTTTCATTGTTCCTTTGCATAGTTCTATAGGGTTATGGCATATATTTCAATTTGTCCTGCTTCCTTTCCTTGTTTGATATAAACATCCCCATGTTATTATTTATTCTCTGTAGAGATTTCTGTGGCCTTATGATGACCTACAGATGAAGGGTTTTCCTGTAATGGACTTAACTCTCATTGTGGGTATTTAGATGATTTCCAAGTTTGACACCTTCAATAATGCTATGGCAAATATTTCCAAATTTAGAACATTTTCTTGGAACAGTGTCCCTCAAATGAAAGACTACTGAGCTGGGAGGTGGGGGATGGTTGCCACCGCGCAGGTTTGACACCCGGCACCACCTTGTAAGCACTACAATTAAGCACTACAATGGGGCTTAATAAGACCCCATTGTAACCATTTGCTTTTTTCCCATCAGGAGCATATCAAGTCATAGACACTAAATAGCATCTTCTGAAACATGCCCTGTGGTCTAGGTTTAACCAATTATTGCTTTAGTCGAAGTTTCTTTAACAGCTAGTAAAATGGGACCTTTCTCTTGCTGGCGGAGTTTCATTTACTGTCATCTGTTCAGGTACACTGCCTGTGTTTAGGAGCATCTCCTGAAATACCCAAGGCCCATTGGAACAAGAAGGACACACGCATGCCCAGACACGCAGCTCGACACACCACATATATTTCCCTACAGTATTTTATAATGGTGCCTTATATTTGACAGTAAAAGAATTAAACTTCTGAACATCTAAACTATTCAATCTTATTAAAATTAAAAATGAGTGTAGGAAACTTACTAAACAGTAGTCTTAGCCACAGAAGCCATGAGGTTGTGACAGGAGGCTAAGGAACAAGCCTGACCGGCTGAGAAGTCAATGTGAGACCAAGTTATAAAGACAACGTAGAAGGGAAGGGAATTGACATAGAAGCTCTAGCCCAATTTCTAAGAGGACTTCAGGTCCTGCCAAAAGGAAGCATTCAGAGAGAGGGTTACCAGGAATTCAGAGGTAAATACGTGAACTTTCAGACTAAGTGACAGAGGAAAACGGAAAGAAAACAGGAAAGAAATAGCTACTCTGATTAAAAAGATATAAAAAAATAAATGAAGAGATTGTCTGCAGGAAACATTAGTACTTTTTCTTCCTGCTGAAACAGCTGCATAAAAGTTTAAGAAGTAAAGTCTCAGACTCTAGTTTTGCATGAAGCCAGGCAAGCCCTGTCCTACTAGGTGCTCTCAGCCCTCTGCTCCAGCTCACTGGTGGTGCCTCAAGGCACCACCAATGAGCTTGCACCAACATTAATTACTAGCAATAGCTACCGATTGCAGAATGCTTACTCCATGGGAGGCACATTGACTCATTTGGCCATTGCAACTATTGTTATCCCCATGGTACAGAGAGACAGAAAGGACTGGAACAGCTTAGCTTCTCCAAGCTCACCCAGTAAGTGACAGAGCTGACAAATGTGGGAAAAAAACACACTGCATCTCCTTATCACCTCCCTGAAAATTCTAGCAGAGGCCCAAGGCCAAGGAACAAGTCCCATAATTGGCCCAAAAGGGCACCGACTCAGGTCTCATTAAAATCTGTGCCCTAATCAGCTTTAGCCTAATTAGCCAAAGTCCCAATCAGGCAAGAGCCACACCTTTGATTAACTTACTCAATTCAGATCAACTTGGAAAAATTGCTGCCCTGAGTTAAGTAGAGTTGAAACTATGGCGTTAGAATCCCTCCTCCCAACCAAGCTTTGTTAAACATTCAGATTCTTAGGTCTTACCTAGAATTTTGATTCATTTTAACAAGGGGAGCCAGAGAATCTACATTTTAAACATTATCCACAAACGACTTGCAACACAGACCATCTACTGGGTAGGTGTTAAAAGTGTATGTTGGGGTGAATGGACTCAACCCCAGTGAGGATCAGATGGGTCATTTCTCTTTGGAAATAGCAACGCCAGATTTCCCATGTCTGCTGACATGAGAAGTGAATTTAACTTTATTTGTTTACTTTTAATTTAGTATTGAAAAAAAACTCTCTTAATGAAGTAAGTATCTTATGCAACATTTTCTAGTTCTGTCCCCTTCACAATGTTCCTGAACCTCAGAGTCTCTATTTTCTCATTTTAAAAAATGGTAGTCATTATTCAGGGCACACACCTGGGTTGCAGGCCAGGTCCCCAGTAGGGGGCACATAAGAGGCAACCATACATGGATGTCTCTCTCCCTCTTTTTCCCTCCCTTCCCCTCTCTCTAAAAATAAATAAATGAAATCTTTTAAAAAATATAGTAATTAATTCCTGAGGTCTAGGGGAGATTAGTAGATGGTATATGAGCAATACCTATTGCATAGTTAGCACCTGACAGGAGTTGGCTATTAAGTATTATCGTAGTCATAGTTAAAGGCAGAAGGAAGGGAGGGATAAGGAGTCACATACACAAACATATGCCTGGACATAATGTCACCCCAAAGAAAAAAGATATAGGGAGAGCTATAAGCCAATAGCTTTTAGAAGGAAACTACCATACCTAGTATTGTGTTTAATGATAAAGGATATACGTACTGAGGCTTGATATGTTCCAAGTGAACCTACCAAAGCCTACATGGCACCATTTCAAAGAAAGTCCAGAAGATCATTGTCTTCTGCGATATTAAGTGTAGTATGGTTTTGGGGTCAGGACAAGGTAAGAAGTCGGGAGGCCTAAATGCTAATTCTGGTTCAGATTCTGCATCTGGGGGGTTGCATTCATAAAAAGCATGTTCCTAGACAAATGTGATGTACAAAGGAACTAGTGGGTGGATCCAAATACTTTCCTACACATCACTGTCGACTATTTAACAATGACTTGGTAGGGAAAATCTTGCTTTAACAGTAAACAGTAGTCTCAGCCACAGAAGCCATGGAGGTTGTGACAGGAGGCTAAGGAACAAGCCTACCTGGCTGAAAAGCCAAAATGAGACCAAGTTATAAGTAGAAAAAGTAAAAGAGTAAGGAATTTGACATAGAGACTTTAGCCAAATTTCTGAGAGGGCTTCAGGTCCTGCCAAAAGGAAGCATTCAGAAAAAGGGTTACCAGGAATTCAGAGGTAAATATGGAAACTTCCAGACTAAGTGACAGGAAAAAGGAAAGAAAGCAGGAAAGATATAGCTACTCTGTCGTAAGCGAGGGACAGATTTCAGGGAGGTGAAGTAGTCTGCACAAGGTTACACAGCTGGAAATAGAAGGACTGGGTCTCAAGCCCAAAGCTATCTATCTTACGTTGTTTTCTGATGCTGTGATTTTCTGATTCCTGCATCCATCCCAACACGGCTCAGGTCACCTCCATTTGGTATGTGGGAATTCTACCCAGACGCCAGTGGGTTTTCAGAAGTGAGAAGGGAAAGCAGAGGTATAGAACACCCCCGGTGGGTCTTTTTACAAGCAAGAAGAAGGCTTACCAGACACAGCAAGTCCTCTTTTGAAAACTTCATACATTGTCTTGGCATCTGAGAAGTAGTAACTTAGCAGGTCATTGTCCTTCTGGTAAGCATTCCTCCGTGCTCCTCCCTAAGACACAAGGCCAAGTTTAGGCCAAGCCCGAGTCTCGCCCCACCCTTTCCAGACCCTTTTGAATTGCACTGAAGAGAATGTAAATGCTGACCATTGAGGTCACAGGAATGACCCCCCTCCCTCATCCTGTTCAATCCATTTTTTAAATCTCAAAACGGAAGTGTCTTTACATCATAGGAACCCAGAGATGGTCACAGTTAAGTTTTTGGCAGACTTCCCCCAGACCTCTGGGAATACACACACACCACATACGAGAGACAATGTTACCGTGTTTTTATCCTTTAAAAATCATATCAAGCTCAAACATCTATGAAATGCACGCTATATTCAAGGCACTGTTGAAATACTGTAGATGTAAAGTAAGTTAAGACACAATTGCTAGCCATGAGCCCCTCACAAGTGAAAGTTTTGGAATGAGGGTGGGGTAAGAAGGGGAAAATGTGCAAATATAATATGGTGGTACACAGGCTAAAATAAAATATATATTTTGGGAGATTAGTGAAGCAACCAATTCTGCATTGAGTAGAAAGGCTATAAAGAAAAAATATGATATTTCAATAGAGGCTTTGAAGATAAGTAAGCGTTGACCAAAGAGGTGTGAATTGGTACAGGGGAGAGAAAGAATAGTTCAAAGTGAAGGGACAGCCCGAATAAACAGAAGCCAGAAAACACATTGCAGACTGGTGGACAGCTAGAGAACAGGGTGTTTCAGGAAGAGGCAGTAGCTACGAACATGTCTAGAACGTCTGCTGGAACGATGGGTCAGGGCCTCATGTGGATATTAGAGCTGCAATGGTCCAACCCTCATGAAAATTAGTCTAGAAAGAAATAGGCATCGATTAAATATGCATGCAAAAGAGGCCATAAAGTACAGGGTGACACATGAGACTCTTGTAACAAGAGATCTGACTTGTCTAGAGCACCGGGGAAGATTCCCATGAGATGCTGCATTAAGTTAAGATGTCAAAAATAAAGTTCCTTGTTTAGTAAAGGAAGGTAGGGTCTATTTTCAGAGGTGGGCTGAGGAAGACGGAAGAATGAAAAGTGATTCTGAGTCAACTTTAGGTAACCGGCTAAGAGGAGGTGAATTTTATTGAGATAGAGCAGGACGGGAAATGGGAAAGGGTATGGTGCTCACTTGTATGTGCACGTGTGTGTATGAAGAGAAGAGAAACAATAAAGAGACTTGTTGTTGCCCTGGCTGGTGTGGCTCAGTGGATTGAACGTGGACTGTGAACCAAAGAGTCACTGGTTCAATTCCCAGTTAGGGCACATGCCTGGGTTATAGGCCAGGTCCCTGGGGGGGGGGCACATGAGAGGCAACCACACATTAATGTTTCTCTCCCTCTCTTCATCCCTCCCTTCTCCTCTAAAAATAAATTAATAAAAATCTTAAGAAAGAGAGAGAGAGAGATTTGTTGACCTTGAGTCACTTGAGCCGCACTGAGGACTGGAACTCAGGAGAGGTCAGAACTAGAAGGTCATATTTGGTAGCCATAGCCTTTTAGGTATATTTCAAGTCATAGGAGAGGAAGGGTTTTCTCAGATGTGAGGAATTAAAGCAGAGATTGGCTCACATCTGGCCTGAACCTGCCTTTACAAGTCAAACGTTACTGGAGCACAGCCATGCTGTTCATTTGTATGTTGTCTGGTGCCTTCACACTACAAGAGCAGAGCTGGGTCGCTGGCAACAGAGCCCGCCTGGCCTGCACAGCCCGGACCGTCTGGCCTTTACAAAAGATGTTTGCCAACCCCTGCTTTGGAGAAATCAAGAGATGGTGAGGCGAAAACTCTAGGATGAAGAGAGGGAACAACCTAAGTGACAAAGACAGGCTGACTTGGAATTAGGAAGAAATTACGAAAGGCAAAACGCGAAGTTTTAAGAAAGAAGTCTCCAGTCAATTGAGAGGAAGGCTGAAGGATAAGTCATTAAATTTGGGAGTTAGATTATGAGTGACCCAGAGAAGTTTGGGGAGATGGGAGTAGTGAAGGTCTGACCTCAGGGGGTTCAAACTCAGATGAGGACACCCACAAACAGCCTACTCTTACAGAACTCCGGTGGGAAAAGCAAGGAGTGAAACGAGATGGTGGCCTGAAGCAGCAGGGCCAGCAGGAGAGGACAATTCAGTGAAGGAGATAGAAACACACCAGGATAAAAGAACAGGTGGTGAACAGCGCAGTTAACTCAGAGTAAGAGTCCCAAGTAGACGAGAGAAGTTCAATCAAACATCAGAAAAGGCTTAGATTTACAAAGGAACAGAAGTGCTTTTTTCCCCCTCTGAAAAGGGTTGAGGATGAAAAATGACCGAGAGAACATTCTTGAAACTTCCCCTTTGCTCAGAGATATCAGAAGCTGTGTGATTTGCTGAGAATTTGGAGAATAGACGGGAAAAGGTCAGCTTCTGCTTGTTTTAAGAATGAAGAGGCCACTGACTGGTGTAGCTCAGTGGATTGAGCACGGGCATGCAAACCAAAGAATCGCGGTTCGATTCCCAGTCAAGGCATATGCCTGGGTTGAGGGCCAGTTCCCAGCAGGTGGCACACGAGAGGCAACCATACATTGATGTTTCTCTCCCTCTCCCTCTCTCCTTCCTTTCCCCTCTAAAAATAAATAAATAAAATCTTTAAAAAAGAATGAACAGTAAGTCAAAGCTGGAATTTAACTCAATAATTTATCATTTTCAGACACTGGGTATCTCAATAAAAATATTCTCCTGTCCCCAAAGTTCTGACTCGATCATCTAGACCAGCAGTCTCCAACATTTTTCATCTCACAGAACACAGAAACTACTGCAATTCTGTAGCACACCAAAAAATATGTTATATTTTTTTGCTGATCTGACAAAAAAGGTGTAATTTTGATTCATTCACACCAGACAGCTATTGTTGTGTTGGCTGCTGTCATTTTCTAATTTGACAGTTTAAAGAAAAATAAGTCAGTGCCCCAACTAAATAGTCAGGTATTACATGTAAAAAGAAAACTCTTGTGGCACACTGATTAAAAATCACTGGCCTGGATCTTAGGTTGGCAACCTTCCTCTGGAAATAGGCTTTGTGGCACACAGATGATCTACCCCTCTTTTAAATTTTTATTTTATGTTTTTACATACCCCTTTAAAAATGCAAAAACCATTCTTAGCTTGCTGGTCCCATCAAAAAAAGGTGGGTTTTTCCTGCAGGGCTGTAGTTTGACTTCCCTGATCTAGATTGCTGACACCATGAAACCTATTTGTGGTTTCGTTTTTATTATAGAGGAAAATGTGTCATTACTGGAAGTTTAAATTTGTAGACTTTCTGTTGATTACTAACCTAAAAAGGCTCACTTTCCACGTTACACCCCATCCCCTTCATGAGTTATCCCAAAGTCTTGAATTAGGTACAGTCTGTTTTTGATCAATGTTGACCGATTTATAAAGGTGGTTGGTGAGTTACCTCGATCCCCAGTGACTGGTTGTCCAGATCAACAGCAGGCAAGGTGGGGTAAGGTCTGTTGATCAGCCACAGGAAGACGGCAGCTCCGAAGGTCAGGAGGCAGATCAGTGCCGGGGTTGGAAGTGGGGAAAACAAGAAGTTAAAGATAAAAAGCATCTTTGTGAATAGCAGCAGGAAATTCAGGCCTTAAAAAGAGAGAGAGAGAAGAAAAGACAAAGTTAGTGGAAATGGCTGAATCTTTTTACTCAATAGTTCTAGGTTCACAGAAGGGGACACACACACAACTTATAAATCTCCAAACAGCCAGCATCGACCTCTCTAGTAGCAGAATGCCTCCCACTGTTTACCTTAGCAATGCTGAAAATAATAGAATGTGTTCTACCCACTACTGCTGCTTGATGTGCTTCCACAAGGTGGGAAGGATCAAAGGAAAGAAGTTAATCATTTCCCAGACAATTATGAGAAATGACTGTCCTTTTTTTTTTTCTGGTCCACAAAGCCCAGAAGAAGCCCTTTTGGGCCCAATATAAGCTGGTAGAGGAGGGTACCCCAGAGAGCTTCCCCCTGCCCAGGCAGATGGAAGGTCAGGAAGGTCTCTTCTGGCTGGATTTCTACAGCACAAATGAAACAGAAAAGAGAACCTCCATGGAAGTGACGCCACGGATTGTATAAATCAAGTGTTCTGCATGAAGGACATTTCCTGTGGGCTGGATATGACTTGCTCATGGCTTTCTCTTTTTTAAAGCATCAGGAAGGCCTCAGAGATCAACAATGTCACAACTTGCTACATCCATCGTCCTCTCCTCCAGGGAATCTGGAGAAAGCATTTTTACTGGAGGCAACTTGAATCAGGTCTGCAGAAAGAGTGCTGGGGAATGAGCCCAAACATGGTACAGATTCATAGGGATGATTTCAGCCAGGAAGTGACCCCAGGAAACAGAAGCAACTAAGGCTTCACACAACACAGCTTTTCTCGAGCGCTGACTGTATATGCCAAATCCTGGGCTTGTAACAGAATGAAATGCTCTGTCTCTTGTACTTGTTCAAGCCTTCCTTGTTCCCCTACCTTCAGACTAGCTCCTGCTTTGCCTTGCATGTAGACATGGTAATTATTAGAGGAATTCTGCTTGTACCCTGAGATTTACAAAAACAGCCCCTCCCATTTTTCTTCTTTTGACATAAAAGAAGCCTGAACTCCGTACTTTCTTAAGATGGATTTGGAGAACCAGTAGGTTTCCCATCTTCTCAGTTGGCACAATCTCATCAATAAATCTTCCTCGCTCCAAACACTAACGTTTTGAGCTTGGACCTTTTGAAGAATTGGACCACAGACTTTGGACCAAATCCAGCAGGAGTTGTTTGTATGAATTACCTAATTTAATCCCCCAAATGTCATGAAGTAGCATTTTACAGGTAAGAACAGAAGCTCCTGGGGGTAAAGTGACTTGTGCAAGTTCACTTACCATTTCCATCTCTGCTTCCCCATTACAATCCATAAAACCCATGACTCAGTATTTTCTTATAGGGACTAGCCACCAAGTTCAAGGAGATTGAATTTGTCTGGCACCTCACAGCTGACGGCAAAGGAAGTTCATAATTTGTATTCTTCAACATTTACTGCAGTGCCCAATGGAAAAATATCTCAGAGAAGAAGCCAAACATTGGCATTCAAAATCCAAAGAGCAAAGCAAGCCCAACAAAAAGTTTTATTGGATCAAAATCATGGTCACCTTTAGAATTGTGGGGCAGCTACCACTAGCTGGCACTTAGAACTTTTTTCCCATGAGCGAACACAGTTATATCACTCCGTGATAACCAGGGCTATAAAACTTAGGGATTTTGTGTGGGAGCAAAAGCAGCCTCAAAAACCCCGAGTCACTCATCATTTTTCTGCCCTTTAATTGGCTATCCCCTGAATTTGGAGCAGTCTCTCTCCATTTTATGGAGGAAAATGGAATTTCCAGATACTGGGATGACTGTCTCCCCCCCCTTGCTTTTTTCCACATTGTGTTTAGGGGAAGAAGAGGGTAAAGCAAGGCCCCACAGGAGCTGGCCAGTTTATGTAACAATAGGTGCAATTGTGACTACCTGCCAGGATTCTGAGAGCAGGGATTTTTTAATCCAGCCTTACCTGGACTTGTAAAGTGAAGTAAGCTCCAGGAGGCAGAACCTGTTCAGGAGTCAGCCATCCAGAACCTGCGTCTGAGGCCAGTCACCCCAGCCTCCTCGGGGCAGGGCAGGTTGTGAAATTGACAGAGCGGTGCCAAAGGGAGGAAAGGCCTGCTTTGTGCTCACCCGTCCTGCCTGCCGTCAGCCCCTCCCCTCCGCCTGGGACGCTGCCACCTGTCCGCTAGTATCTTAGGCTCTAAGATTCTTCTCTCTGCCCCAATGCCATCGTCAAATTAAGAGATTCTTACTTGAACCTCCCTTCTCCGCAATGGGAGCAAACTGTTGCACTGTGGACTTTGCCCTCTTTGTACAGATGGCAGATTTACGGGAGACTTTGCAAACAACAGCTTCAAAAGAGGGTCTAAAGGTGAAATTTATGTTCAGCTGTGGCAGTATGGGGTGGGGAGAAAGGGAGGGAAAACAGGCTGGCAGGTAATACCAAGGGGGGGGGAGAGGGAGGGAGGGAGGGAGGGAGGCAGCACCTGCTTGTAGCCTTGACTGATTGTTACCATGCAGTGATGTGGGCTGGGGTCACCAATTGGTCAGATTTTTTTCTCCCTGGAAAACCTGAAACGCTGGATTTTTATGAACCTCAATTTGAACTATTGGCTCAAATAGTCAGCGTCTGGTTTGGGAATTAACAACAACAAAAAAACCCCATCTGGTTTAACCTCGACCATGGTCTGTCAATGAACCCTTCTTTTAATTATACTCCAGTCATACCACAAATGGAATGAGACCGGTCACTTCCTTACAAACAACGGAGACTTTTATCAATGCCAAGACCAGTTTCACAAGAATGAAAGTACTTGCCTGCACTGGATTGAAGAAGACATGTGAGGATATACCTACCTGTCAACTGCAATAGCTCACCTTACTTTCCTATTACTGACCAATCCAAATAGGATATATGTGAAAAGTTTCAGAGGGTCCTGCCCTGCCTCCCCACATGCTTAAAAATTAAGGTAAAATTTGAGTGACATAGGATTAATCATTTTTAAATGAACGATTTAGCAATATTTAGTTCATTCACAATGTTGTGCAAGCATTGCCTCTAGTTAGTTCCAAAACATTTTCATCACCCCCAAAAATGAAACCCCGTACCTATCAGGCAATCACTCCCTAGTCTCTGCTACCCCCAGACTCTGGAAACCTCAAGTTTACTTTCTGTTGCTACTGACTTACTAATTCTGAATATTTCATATAAATGAAACCACATAATGTGTGGCATTTTCTCTGTGACTTCTTTCACTCAGCATAACATTTTCAAAATTTATTGATGTTACATATCAGTTCTTCATCCCTTCTTATGGTTGAAGAAATCCAATCATTTTACGCACTTGTTGGTCACTTGCATTTCTTCTGTAAAGAATATCTAGTCCAGTGCTTTGCCCATTTTTAAATTGGGTTGCTTGTCTTTTAGTTGTTCCGTTGTAAGAGATCTTTATGTATCCTGGATACTAGACACTTAGAAAAAAAAGATTCACAGCATTTTCTCCCACTCTGCTATCTTTTCACTATATTGATAGATTTGTTTTTAATGCCCAAACACACATTCTTTGCATACACACATTAAATGCCTTATAATGTTACCTACTACTGGAGAGGATTTGTGCCCATATCCTGTAATTCCCACTGTAAACGGGAGAAACTGAGGCTCTGAGAGAAGGGGAGACCTTCCAGTCAGCTCTCACTATTACTGGGCTGGGAAGCTCTGGGAAGCATTCTAACCCTAAAATCTATTAACACTTACATATGCCCTCAAATAAATGAGGGGGAAAAGCTACCATCACCCTCCTCATGTGACGTGTGTCGCTCAAGTTACAATTTTGTTTTAGTCACTTCATGGAAACTCCTGCAAACTGTAGGTGTGATGGCTTCCTCTTCCCTTTAGGTCACTACTCACTGGGAAAGTGTAGGGAAGGGAGAAGTGCAGTGGTACCAAAAAAAAAACAAAAAAAGAGGAAGAGAGTTGCATGATGCTGCATCTGGCAGCTCCTGTTTTGGTTACCTAAACGTGGCCACGAGAGCCACAGTGCCCAATAGGGCGGCCCCAAATGGGAAACTTCCTCCACTTCCTGGTGTCATAGTGACATGCTTCTGTCCCCCCCCCCCAGGTTGCCCATTGGTCCTCAGCCATTGCTCTTGATTCACTCCATGGCGTTCCCTTGTTCTGTGGTATGGATGGCCATGGCCACATTCACTCATCTTCCAGCACCTAGTCCATTTCACTCTGAAGGTAGCGGTAAGACATCTTCTGTCTTCACACCTGCTAGTGAGCTCCCAGGACCAGCCTTGGTTTCCAGGTTATGACCACCCCATCTTCATCTTTAGATTTTGCTGCTTTGTGGGTTTGGAATACTATTTCTTCTTTAAGTCTACTTTTCTTTGTATAAAAACCCTAAATGGCCCCTTCTACCCTAATTAATACTCAAGTTTTGGTCAAAGGTAAGTCCATGTCTACCTTAGATCCTCTGTATTGGTTCTTCTCTTTGTCCGGAGCACTGTTCCCCAGATCTGCAACAGTTGTAATGGCTTATAGGTCTGGTCTCAACTCAAATGCTACTTCCTCAGAGGCTTGCTCCGAGCACCCTATTTAGTATTGCCCTTTTTACCCCAGTCACTACCATTGACCTTGCTTTCTCTTTTCCATGACACTGTTCACTCTCTGCAATAGTCCTGGACTCTTATCACCCATTTTCCCTGCTGCACTGATATTCTAATTGGAACAGGGATTACTGCTTTGTTCACTACAATTCCTGCCCTGTGCCTGGCACACAGTAAACTTTCGATGAGTAGTTGCTGAATAAACAACCAGTTTTCTGGTTCAGAACTGTCTGTTCTAAGACTCTTAGTTAATCCATGCTTCCCCTACTAAAACTATCCCACGCCCAAATTCCCCAAACCTAGACCATCAAAAGGCATTCTAGCCAGTCTTGAATTGGGTATTCCCACGTTAATATTTCACCAAGGGTTAGGGATGGTGGGTGGTGAAAAGAATGTATTTCTAACCCAT